AGAAAGAAAGAAAGAAAGAAAGAAAGAAAGAAAGAAAGAAAGAAAGAAAGAAAGAAAGAAAGAAAGAAAGAAAGAAAGAAAGAAAGAAAGAAAGAGTCAAAAAAAAGGAATTAAAATGAACCCATGGAGCTACAAAGATTCAAAAGACCCAAATCTGCATAATTTTAAACAGACTAAAACATTTCTTCCACAAAGTTTGCATCCCGACAACTCTCATGTGCTGTTGCCTCTCTTTGATTCTGCTGAGCACATGTGAATTCCGCATAGATCCAGTATTTGAGTACATTTTTTTTTCCAGCCATCACCATCATGAAATAAGGCTAAAAGCTGAGCATCTAATGCCARCACAGCTAACCAGAAAGCCTCAAAATTAATCTATTTTAAATGACATTTCCTACAGCCTGAGCCAGGACAGTTACCCCAGACCCATGCATAAAGTCCTGCTTGGGGAGCAGTGAACAAAACATGGGTATCCACCCATTTTTCCCAGTTTATCCCCTCATGGGACTTTCTTGCAAACATCGTGAGGCAATTTCCAGGCAGCAGCGCTGAGATCTCCCTGTGTTACATAAAGGCAAAGAGGAGCTGAAAAAAATCCCCAGGGACCATAAAAGACACCACAGAACTGTGCAGAGCGACGCTGTGAGACAGCCCAGAGTCAACATCCAGCGCCTGAAAAGCTGGAAACGCCAAATCTCATCCCTGCTGTGACTCTGCCCCAGCGCCGGGGCGGTGAAGGCCGCGTCSGGACGGAGCCGGCGGCAGAGCCGGACACAGCTCCACGCCGGAGCTGCCTCCGGCGCCGCGGCCGCCCAGGAGCGCTCGGCGCCTCTGGAGCTGCTGGGATTTTGCCTCGGAGCCCTGGGGAGGGACACGGGGGCTGTGGGAGGCAGCAGGTACCCGCGGACCGCGGCGGCCACCCCGGCCTGACGGATACTTGTGCTCGCCGAAACCTTTCCCTGTTGCAACTTCCTGAGGGATATAAGAGTCCCCTTCAGGAAAGCTCCGGTCGCGCTGTGTGGATGGTGGAAAACAGCCCAGGGGGGCATCCTCAGGTCYCTTCCAACCTCAGCCGCTTGCTGGTGTGTCCCCATGGAGGAGAAAGCAGCTGGTCTGCAGAGAGAGACCTGGGACCTTCAGTCAAAGTGCTGGGGATTTGAGATTTTTGAGGTTTGGGAGAGGCACGAGTAGTGCCCCAGAGCTGTGCCATCATGAAAAGGGATCTCCTGGACTTGAAATTCTCCAAGGGCTTCCCTGCAATGGGAGATGGATGCTCTGTGCAGCCCTGAAACCTTCAAAGTGCAAACCCGGTGTACAAAAACCCATCTTTTTCAGCCCAGTTGAGACTCACAGGAACTGTAACCAGTAGCAAAACCACCCCCAGGCCAGCCCCAGCTGGACCGGGTAAACAGGAGCCCCTGGGGTGACCCACGGTGCCCATTCCTGGTACCTCGGCCACTCACCTCAGCTGGTCCCCAGTGCCCCCGCGAATCCCACAGGATGGGGGTGAAACGACAAATGCAGAAGCTGTTTGTGCCCAGATATTTCCGTGCCTGGGGTATTTTTGGAAGGTAGATGACCYTTGAGTACACACTCAGGTTGGTGATTAATCCCATGTTTACCAGGCATCAGGAAAGCTCATCGGAGCGTGCCCACACGCTGCCCCAAATGCCCCCGCTCCTTGCGGCCACCAGTGCTTCCCTACSCCGTACCTGATTTCTGGCTGATAGCTGAAAAGAGACACTGGCAAAGAAAGCCACCATGGTCATCCAAGTCACTCCAGCACATGCTTGGAGATGTGGAGTGGAACTATGAAAAGGAAGCGGTACAGAAGCATTTTGGGGGCTTTGTTTACACCAACTGAATGCTAAACTACAGCGGATCCTGGTGAAGAGCCCTTCTGTTTTCAGAGAAAACAGGGGTGGTGTTTTTAGCTGGAGTTGCAAGTTTCACTTCAGACGAGACTTTAACCCTGRCTGTGGGTCTAAGTTCAGATACAAGCGTACAGCTGGGAAGTGTGCCCTCATGTTCAGGTTAAACCAATACCAGATAACCCCTCAAATCCCCAGTAATGCTGGTTTAGGAACCAGAGTGGCTCAAGGTTCAAGATATAACTCTTTCTTCTGCAGCTCTCCCTTGTATCAGCTTCGATTCTTCTAAGAATTGTAATATTTTTGGACAGAAGAGCTAACAAGCAGATTGATGGTCACTTGAGCATTGCTCAAGTGCGTTGCTCTAGGATGCATGCTGGATCACTACAAAAAATGCATTGCACCAGGAGATCCAGCTCCTCTAAGCGGGCAGAAACAGCCGCAGGGCTCTTGACACCACTTTATCAGCGCCTTGCACCTACCACAGCAGCAGCACTTACCAACGTGTGATGGGTGTCAGTGTTTGCAACCATACAATTTGAGTAAATTACCTGGGTACCTCTCGCACAGAGGTCACACGTGAGCTTAGCGCCCATAGGAAGCAACTGGGATGTGACATGTGCCATGTACAGCTGGACTTAACCAGTCCAGTACTGGACTTAACCAGTCCAGTACTCTCCAATCTATCTGGACTTACCCACCAGAAATCAGTTGCATTTAGAGAGCTAGTGGATCTGGGGGCTCTGGGAAAGTCTCTCTGGGGCCAGTCTCTCAGGATGGGATGCACCGCTCTGTTAGCATCCCAATTAAATCCCCATTTCGCTAGATGGCGGCAATGCCCCACGGCAGCCCTGAGGTGGCAAAGGGTGAGCCACAGCCTCCACAAAGTCCTGGTTCCTGACCATCCATCCAATATTTCTGGGCCTGTGAGGAAGCAAGGGATCCATCTTGCCTTTCTTCCCATCACCCAAACCCTTTATGTGATGCTCTCCATGTGTTCACCTCCAGGTAGCTCTCTCAGGACTCATTAATCTCTCTGCAAAGCCCCACTTAGAGGTGAGGAAGAGGAGGCACTGAAATGTCCACAGCAAGACCCAAACAGGAGCTGTGGTGGCCACATGAGTCATTTAGGTCTGTTGCACTAGTCTGCAGCAACCTCCTACCCCTGAGGCTGGTCATGCAGAGACATTTCCAGYCAGATAAGGACTCCCTGGAAGAAGGTGAGTAGCCTTAGACATGGCAAAGGCTGTTTGAGGTGTGGAAGCAGATTCTTCTGGTTCACCTCACCTTATTCCTTAGCTCCATTCTAAAGTTTTATAACCCTCCTTCCAGTACAGTCTCTCCTCTTCTGCCTTCTGCTCTCTCCATTTCCATGCTGAAACCCAGTTGTTGTTACACAAATGTTGGACAAGGTGTGAGATCCACAGGCTGTTTCCTCTTGGGTGAACTAGGGACCTTGCCTCTTGCTCCACGGTGGCTCCCCCATGAGGACTCCTACCCTAAGTCTCACCTTTCCTCTAAGGATAAGGAAGAGACCCACAAATCCCACATCAAAGGAGTTAACACTCACCACCTCTTCTACATCAACTACAGCAACTAGATCACGTAGTTGCTACTAATGGGTCAGGCAGCAGGCTCTGAAGCTTACCGTGAAAGGTCTGAGCTTTCTTATCCACAAGAGAGTCAATACTGAGATGCAAGTGGAGCTTAGATATTTGGGCACTGCAAATAGTGCTCAGATACTTGGGAATGAGGAGAACTGAATAGGACAATCCTAAGTGGGTCTCTGGAGGCCTACACCCAAGACAGAAACTCAGCAAGAGGCCCATGAAAATCCCATAGTGACCACTGAAAAGGTATGAGCTTCAGACAAAGCTGCCCCACCACCGGGAAGAGCTCAGCAGATGCAGAGACACCACATGGGTGTCTCTCACCTTGCTGTCCTCCGTAGTGTATTTACCTTGCTCGGGACCAATTTTTCTGAAGATCAAAATCTCCTTGACTGCAACCAAACAGAGAATAAGGCACTTTCATGAGGACTTATCACATCAGCCTAAATGACACAAAAATATCCCCTTTGTCTCCTGGTCCTGTCTCCGTCCTGCTAGAGAGAGAAACATGCTATGTTGCCTTGTGTTTGCAAACTGTACCCAGACAAATGCTTCCAGATCTATAAATGGGCAAACCAACTCTAGGCAGATCTAGTAAGTGGATGACAAGGATGTTTGGTATTTTGCAATGCCTTTTGCTACTCTGTACAGAGTGGGAAGCCTGTTATATTTTCTGAGGGAATGTACATAAGCCTGTCACTGGTGGTAGATGAAGATGTCCTTGGTCCCTTCCCCTGTTCTACAAAGAAGTATGAACTTTCACACTGAAAACACTGAGGTTCCAGGTAAAAAACTGTCATGCTTTGTCTGCCAACTAGATCACTTTGATTCTGCCTTTGTCAGAGGTCATTAGACCCCATGCTGGTGAGATTCAAGGTACACAGCAGCATGAGGAACTGTAGAGGTTTGCAGAGTGCATCTGCTCAGCACACAAGTATGCATCCAGAACCATCTTAGCACCTCATGTCAGGGAAATATAAGACAGAAGTTATATATCTGTAAATGAAACAAAGTGTAAGAAGCTGGTTTTTTGCTATGCTGAATGCGGGTCTTCTTCCCTCTTTCTAAATCCAGTATAAATTCAAGGTAACTCAGCTGACATGATCTCCGAGATAGGACTTCTGTGTGGAATAACGTCTCTTTTCATATGCAGGTACAACAGACATGAACTTCTACCTTCACTTGTAGTGATCTGGCAGGGCAAGGAGCAGGCACAGCTAAAACATTGCAGAAGGTGTGTCAGCCCTTTCACCACTGCTGGRTGTTAAACCTGTTCTTATCACAAGGCATTTCACAATAGGCTCCAAGGACATCGGTGTGGTGGTTAGTTCTTTTAGGCTAAAGTGCAAGACCCAACTGTAAATCCAGAGCAGAAAGGGAATGTGAGGATGAGATTGTGCAATGCTTGCTCCAGTGATGGGATATTGAAGACACTCTTGCCCAGAGAAGGTGGTGCAATCTGGTCCTACTGTGACAAAGATTACATTAAATCTCTCTGCATCAAACAGGACACAGACTGTAGTAATTCTGGATTTTGTTGACACCTTTGGTCCTACTTGCATTGTGCTCGATTCCGGGGGAACACCTCACTGGCAGCAAGACCTGGAGAGGTGGCTACTGGTGAAAACTCTGTTGCTCTTGAGTGCCCATGCAATCTCTTACACTGCCCTCTCACAGCAGCATCATATCTGAGCACTAAGCTGCTGGTTTGTGCATCACTCCCATGTCATTGTTTTCCCGAGCCAAGCAGTACTATATGCTAGGGAAAGCCATAGAGGACTTTCTTTGGAACTTACATTTGTATTAAATACATGTTGTGGCTGTACATTTAGCTTAGAAAGAGACAAGAACACTGGTCTTTGGCACAGAGCATCTGCGTATTTGCTTTGGAGCAGAAAAGGTTGGCATGGGGGTGTCACTTGATTCTTGCCTTTTGTCCCTTTCTCTTGGACAAGATCTCAGGCAAGATTTTTCTCCGGCATTGAAGGGCTTTTCCTGTTTTGAAGGATRTCCCTTTGTGCCAAAGGAGTGAAGATGTGAAAGTGGTTATATCACCTTGGTGCAYGAAGCTCCTATAGATATCATGGGTGTGGGACACCAAGTCAAGTGTATGGCACTTATTAAAGACAGATAAAGAAATGGGATGTTCATGCAGTCCATTTTTGTGATAAGATGGGTTGTATAGGAGGACCCATGTGCAAGCAGCAGGACACACTTGTACATGCTCCTCCTCACGACTGTATGAACCTGAGTAACTATCCTTGACCTC